CACCGAAATCCGAAGGCACGTTGCGATAGCAAAAGATGTCTCTCAAAATCTAAGTATTAAGAAACAGGAACATCTAATAAGGAACAAAGCACCGTTATGTAATATCAGTTCTCCTAAATGCCAGTGAATGCTGGAAATCTCAAAGATAAAGAAAATACTTGAAGCAACAGAAATGTGCTTCTACGGTATTCTATGCTGAGAATATCATGGCCTGAAGACGTGAACAATGACGAAGTTTTAGGGAAAATGCAAACAAAAGGACATTTAAAATTAACATCAGAAAGAGACAGTTGAAATTCCTAGGGCACATAATGACTAAAGAAATTTGAAACTGAGAGGACATATTGAAGAAAAGAGCGGTAAACAGGTAAATAGCAAAAAACAAAATATACTAAGAGCTATTTACACTATTTACTGTTATCTGCATTTTCGTTGTAATATTCACTCCGTTTCGGCCGCTGTACACTCCGGCCTTCATCAGGTGACTAGAATTTCGAACTGAAACCATTATCACGTTCACCGGGAGTAGAATGTTCTAGTTCCACATTCCATGCCTCTTCCGAATGTCTCAGCATCAGTTATCTCCCTTTAATTCAACTCTCCAAGTTTTTGTCACCAAGGATAAATGGCCCAGTTGATAAAAGTGTTAATTGAATTCAGTGACTTGACCCAAAGTGTTGTCAGTTCAATACCTGGTTCCATCTGAGTTGAGTTAACTGATACTGAGACATTCGGAAATGGCATGGCACGTGGAACTAGAACAATCTACACAGGTGGACGAAATAAAAGTTTCAGTTTGAAATTCAAATAACCCGAAGAAGACCGGTGCATGCAACGGCCGAAACGTCGTGAATATGGCAAGGGAGATGAGGACAACAGTTCTAACAGTGTAAATAGCATAAATCATTAAAATACTTCGTCTCAGACGTATAGACGGGTACTGAGAGCTACAAAGGACCGGAAATTGTAGAGAAATGTAGTCATTAACGGTATAAATGGACATGACATATTGAAGAAGAATTATTAGAACGACCAGCTCTAAAAGAGGAAAAAATGTTGTGGAGGGCCATGATCGCAAATAACATAGAATGAGAAAGGAGAAAGAAAGAAAAAATCTGTGTGCGTGTGTGTGTGTGTGTGTGTGTGTGTGTGAGAGAGAGAGAGAGAGAGAGAGAAAGTGTGTGTGAGAGAGAGGAAGAGAAAGTGGGGAAAGAGAGACATTGCAAAATGAAAATCAGAATGTACGGAATCGAAGAAGCATAACTCTCTTGTAGTTGTTTTGTAATTCTGTGACATCTCATACGCCATCAACAAAATGCCCAAAGGAATCTGTTTTTATGTTTACAGCAAACGCAATGATAGCCGGTCATATGAGCACATTTTATGCAAAATAGAAAACCTTTTCAATGGAAAACAAGTGCGTGTGTGTATGGGGGCGATGATACCGCGTCAGTCTGATTTTCAGTCGAGTTGTCATTGTTCTTCCTGATTGTTATTACTATTATCGACCAAGACTACGTTGTTGTTTATCGTACCATTTCCCTTGGGAGAAATGGAAAGAGAAAAGGATGAGGACAGAGGAAGAGAATGAGACAAGGAGAGAGTAAGAGAATCGATGACCAACATATTTTGTTGAATCCAAGTGCTGCCAAAAAGATCAATGATAATCAAGACACATAAATCACTATCTCGCTATATATATATATATATATATATATATATGAGATTTTTAGATTATGGTAAAAGAAAAACTGTGGTGAACGAGAAAAGGAAAATTGCGTTGTGCCAATTTTTCAATGAGGGTCGTTTTTTCTTGAATATTAGCAATCGAAATTCTAGCTTTAACTGGACTAGACTTCAACATCGAATTCTGCTATTATAGGAGGATACGGAGCAATGTCCCTAGTCTCGAGTGTCCCCTAGTTAATTGCGTTTAGCCTTGTGAAGCACAGGTCACATTATTAAGGGGATCTAACACAACAACAATGTCATGTATGATCAAAATTCTGATATTCACTTTACAACAAGCACAGCCCTGTCACTCTGGATATATATATACAACCTATACACACACACACACACATACACACACACACACACACACACATATACATATATATATATATATATATATATATATATATTTACTGTTTAAATGAGATACATATGGAATGATAAACATTATAAAAATAGTGGAAAAAATTATTTTGAGATTCTTCGCTTCGATTCATCGGAGTTATATATCAAAATACAATATTCAAAATTGGTTTAGATATTTGCCACTTTACATATATATATATATATATATATATATATATATAATAAATGGGTAGCATAAAAATCTACATACACGCGCATATACTTGCACGTACATATAAATATATTTCTTTCATTGGTGTTATAAATACGTTGCTCAGTTTTATGAGACAAAGCTATATATTCGTGAATATGCATAATATCCAACGTCAATTACATTACTCGGAGTTTCAAGCAGTTCTTCAGATACAAATATAATCTGACCGTAATGTACTTCGCGTTCTCGTGGTGATGATTCGAAATGGTGTGTTAAAACATGTTTATTTAATTTAAATAATAGAATTAATTATTAATAATTTATATCATTCAAATTATTAAGTTCGAAAGGCGAAGAATAAAAAATAAAGAAAAAAATTATTAAAGTTTAGTTAGATTCAAAGGTAAACAATATATCAAAGAGGATAACTCTTTTTACATAAAATACTCTAATTATATCAGTTAACTTAGACTAGAACACAGGATGGGAATATAATATAAGGCTGCGATTATAAAAAAATATAATAGGTCGTGATTATATATCTAATATGTTTGGAACCAAACCTTGAGCTTAGAAAGGTGGACACACGTTATAAATTAATCGAGTACAGTAATATTGTATGCATGTGTGTAAAGATATATAAGAAAAGTTAAGTGTTCTAAGAATATTAATATTTGTTGCATATTATATTATTTTTCGTAAAATCCATTTTGCAATCTCTTGATCGGGGCAATATGTTTGAGCAGGTGCTTGGATTTATGGATGCATGTAGACATCAATTTGGACCTCGTGTTCATCAAGTTAAGGTTATTTAATTGTTTTAATTCAATATGCTTCTACAACAAACACAAGTTACAACTGTCTCCCTTTCCACTGCATGGCTTAGCTTTCGCGATTATCTCCCAGCTAATAGTATGGTTGTTTTTAATCGTCAAACATACTTTGCAAGAGGTGTGCAGTTTTGTATTTGATAGTGCTCAGTTTTTGTATTTGATATTATATATATATATATATATATATATATATATATATATATATATATGTGTGTGTGTTGTGTATTTGGGAAGCAATCCTCCTTTTATACAAGTTTTGTTAAAGACGACTGACAAGGTACTGCAATTAATTTTTTTATTTAATTTTTCTTGTGTTCATACCAGTGTTTTCTTTTCTGGGCACAAAGTGTGTAAAAACTGTCTAAATTTTCTGCATGTGCAAGAGCTTTCGGCTATTCTTTCAGCATTTATCAAGGACGATTATTAATGCATATATTTAACTAAATGTGTTTTTCGTTTTTTGCACATTTACTGTCCAAAATTATTATATCAGTCATCTTTAATGAAACACACACACACACACACACACACACACACACACACACACACACACACACACACACACACACACATATATATATATATATATATATATATATACATATGACGTCATACATTATGAGATGGACAACGTCCGACAATTATTTTAAGACATTTTAATATATATATATATATATATATATATATATATATATATATATATATATATATATATAATCATTAATGGTGCTGAAAGGGCGAAAGTGCATATTTTTGTGATATTAGAAAAGATGTAAAGAGCCAAACTCAACATTTTTAAAAAAAAAGAAATTTAGAAATTGGGACCTAAAGTCACGAAGTTTTTTTTTTTATCGAATAAGGAAAAAACTGAAAAAAAAATTTCAACTTAATACATATATATATATATATATATTATAATTTTATCGTATAGACAAAACCATTTTACTCACTACGAAGGTGCAACTTGGTTTCAGTGCATTTCAACTGCAGTTCGACAGGTGAGAATTGAAAATGGTTGAAATGCACCGAAATCAAGTTGCATCTTTGTAGTGAGTAAAATGGTTTTGTCTATATGATAAAATTATAATAAAGGATTAATTATCGCTCTACTATCGGTATCGAACCTCTTTTGGATGAATGATGTGAACGTTGGAATTTATATATTACTTTCGTTTTCATCGCATCGGATATCTCTCTCTCTCTCTCTCTATATATATATATATATATATATATACTGGGGTATCATTATATTCTTGAAGTCTAATTTTGAATCTAATTTTAAAGGGATTGCATAATACACGAGATATAAAATTAGTGTATGTACTGCTAGCCCTGGCTACGCCGTTGACCCAAAATATATACCCATTTACTCTAGTCAGATTCTTTTTCAAAATTAGGTCTTGAAATGTCGCATGATTCATGATTATATATATATATATATATATATATATATATATATATATATATATATATATATATATATATGTGTGTGTGTGTGTGTGTGTGTGTGTGTGTGTGTGTGTTTGTGTGTGTTTTTATTTATATATATATATATATATTCATGTGTGTTTGTATGTATAGATTGTAGATAGAGTGATTCGTTTTATACAGCTTATCTAAATTTTACCGGTTATTTGAAGCCAGCAAATAGATTGAAGAATTCTTTTCATTTTTTTTTTAAAGATAATAATGATTTAGTGATACAAGTTTTATTAATTAACCCATAGCTGCGGGCAGACGATGTGGGTTCATACATTCGCCAAAGGTATTTCTATGTAAGTGAATCTAACAAACATTTTGGGAATTGGAACTTGGCTCTCCGATTTCCAATTTCGAACCGTTCTTCATTACACCACCGACACATTCAAGATTAGAGCACCTGTTATTCCCAAGCGGTCACCCACCCAGGCACTAATCAGGCTCGACGGTGCTTAAATTCGGTGATCATATGTGAACCGATGTTTCAACGTGATGTGGCCGTAAGCCTAGGTAGATAAAGGAAAGAGCGGGGGAGGATTATGTGCAAAACTGCATAATAATAAAGCGACCTGTCAAAGAGACAGCAACGAGAGAAAAGTGAACGAGAGAGGAAAAGAAAGACGCGTACAGAGAAAGAGAATGGAAGCGTATGGAGGATAAAGAGGACGAGAAAGAAGTATACAGGAAGAGTGATAATAAAAGAGAGATAAAGATATTAAAAAGTGGAAAATAAGGAACAATGAGAATGAGAGACAACTAAAGTGGAAAAAAAGGAAAATGCCAAAAATCCTTTGTTGAATGCGATTGATGTCAAAGATTGTTGTTGACTTTTTCGTTGAATACAATAAAGCACCGAGTCATCCCTCATCTGTTAATATCGATAGGATTAACATTTTACAAGTGCTGTCCTCGGAGAGATGAGATTAATGGATAACCAGGCAATCTGTTGAGAAAAGTGGCGGGTATGTGAAATGTAACCGGTTTAATAGAAGAAGAAAAAAATGAGGCCAAAAAAAAAAAAAGAAAAGAAAAAGGACGACTAAGCAGAGGTTAAAAACAAAGCTGAAGACCAATGGATGCCGGGTATAAACCGGGTGGATGATAACAAAGATAAGAGAAAAAAAACAGTTTATGATATGAACGTGATGATGGCGTAAAAAATATGTTCAAAGTTGAAGGAAGGAGCATTTAAAATGATCGCCTTCTTGTCGCCGCCATTTTAGATGAACAGTGGTGGTACAGTGACGCCATTGAGATTTAACTCTTCATTAGTACTGTGATTTAATTTAGATGTTAACCCTTTATCAGTACCGTAATGCCATTTAGATTGAACCCTCCAGTTAGTCAGTCATGTGCCATGCTTGATATACGCTTAGGCGATCATGTATTTTTCGATAGATGAGTGACGAGGCATTTTTTCCGCAGTAGGTTGCCATTTCTTTCTGCGGTAGACCAGTTGCTATCCAAGGTTATAGAACCCGGTCTGTCCTGCTATTTACTCATAGCAAGGGAGAGGTTTCATACATTTCCCAAGTGTATTAGCACGTAAGTGAATGTAATGGATTTGATTCGAACTCAGCTCTCCGATTCCTCAATCCGAGCCGCTATCCATTACTCCACCGTGTATAGTGATGCCATTTAGATGTTAACCCTTCATTATTACCGTAATGCCATTTAGATTGAAGCCATTATTAGTACCATGATGCCAATTAGATGTTAACCTTTCATTAATACCGTGATTCATTTACACTAAACCCTTCATTAGTACAGTGATGCTATTTAGATGTTAACCCTTCATTTATGAAGGGTTAACATCTAAATTAACATCTAAATATTACGTTTTATGCACCTGAACACCGCATAAAACTTTCCTTAATATTTAGTAAGCGTCTTGTAAAATCATCATGATTAGGTATCTTTTTTAATAGCTATGACAACCAAACAAAGAGTTTGGGTTTTAATCGTAATATTTGCCTGAATTGGCCAGTCTATCAAACTAACCGACACCTTCAACGCCAGGCCCGAAGACAAACAACTTTCCTATCTTCAAGATCGCCTCCTCGGCCCACAAAAGATATATTTTTCTTGATCCATCATACTGGCATTACAGATAATTTTATTTTAACATATCTTTTATCTCCGCCTCACTAGCAATAATTCTTTGTGTTTGCTACTCATGCAACCATATGCAGTATACAAAAAAATACAATATTTTATTGCTTTTTTTTTCATTTTTAGATATCCCATGAAAACCATAATAAACACTCAAAACAACATACAATGAAAAATTAAGAACTAAAATATATATCTATAATATTTTAAGTGAGATGTTTTCGAGATTCCATCATTTGTCATTGCACCACAATACTGACAGAGTTGCTTGGTTGTTTCGTTTAGCAGCAAATCAACATCTGCATGGGTTATTTAATGTCGAAATCTAAATATCTGATAAGTAAATAACTCCCGAATTTGTTGGTGATGGGCCTCAGACTCAACACGGAGGCCTACATCAGATGTCCTGAGGAGTTAGTGCTGTAAAAGGACTCTGCACCATGCCACACAAGAAGGAGAACCCAGTCATGGATAATTTCTGCGACCACATCACCACTTACATCTGGCTACCTAATTACCCAGATTTCAACCCTTTAACCCCTTTATTTTTATGTATTGGGTACAGTTGATCGAGAAACCAAAAAAAAAAAAAACTCCGTGTAACACCAAAGATGAACTGACTTCAAGGGTTATGGCAGCATTCACCAACTTAAACAAGGTGATCATCCAGAACAGTTGCAAGAGAATCCGAAGTAGTCTGGAGGCAGTAACTGAATAAATTTACGCTTTAGTATTTCAAGATATGTTTTTTTATTTTTTTGCAAATATATCTCTTAAAATGAGATGTCAGTTTTATTTTCATTTTTTGGTAATTTAGACGACAATTTATCCATTACACCCAGAAAATTTTCGTGTCATCCTTTAGGACTTCTCCCGACAAAAGTGATGTTTACGTTGATGCGACTACACATGCGCACAGAGGAGGGGGACGCTTAGAAGGTTAATTTTAAATTAATTTTTAAAATAACATATATGTTTTGGATATACAATATAGCCTGTTTTGGGTGTTCCTACGTGGTGGAATTGTTAGCGAGCTTGTAGCGGCTAAAGAAAAATCCAAAGGTATAGCGAGTTCGATTCTCGCTAGAGATTGAGTACTTTGGCCTTGTGCCGCATATAAAGCACTGTAATTCAACCGATTTCATTTTGTTCATATTTCCACCAATTTGTTTGTTTAATATCCTACATTCTGATAATAGAAGATGTGCCAAGAAGGGTTAAATGTAAAAACTTGGACGTCAATTAATCTAGCGATTAAAACACTTTCTAAACATTTCTTTTTTAGTGAATAGTTTTCTCTTTTAATTAGAGTAGCGATTTTTAAATTCAAATTATGGTAAGAATCATTACGGTGAGGAATAAATGCATTTAGTTCCCTATAGTGTTTATATAATTGTTTTGCAAGATCCATTTTCTGCTCATAATTGTTTTGCAAAAAAACCCTTTCGTGATTTCATAATTGTGTTCACTGCAATGAGGCTGACTCTAATTTCGACTATTATCACAATAGATGGAAACATGAACAAAAAGAAAATAAATGATAACAGACTATATATCCAGAACATTTATTAAATGACACATTAAATTTAAAATACTTGGGTTCCCCTTCATTTCATACGCATGTTTAATCGCATCAACATAGACATCATCTTAGCCCGATGAAAATATTTCGCACGTTGACATAGTTTTTACCTGAAATATTCATTGATATACTAAAATTTATGTCATTTTCCATGTATGTACGTACAAAAACTATGAATACTATACATAATATACTATATATTCTATTGTGATATAAAGAATAATACATACGTATTTCTTGTAATAAAGCAATTAACTACATCAGAAATACTACCACCTCCATGTGTAGACGGCTCACATGTCACTTAGCTAATCAAAATGCTATAAAAACATCTAGCTAATCAAAATTCACAAGAAATCTTAAGGAAAATTCTGGTTGAAAACACTAATGTTCTATATGAATCACATTACCGGAAACATCTCGCTGTGAGAGAGGCCTTGTATATAAAACATCTCACTCCCACTATAACCCTCATCTTATTCAACAGTGGGACGATGTGCTGAAAGTTTAAAAAAATAGAAAGACGCTCTGTCGCCTATCTCAAAATGTGAAGCGTTCCTACGAGTATTAAAAGCAATACAAAAACACATATCAAACAGTCAAACGTGAAGCAAAATTAACAACACCGACAACAAACCCCTTGAAAATGGCTAAAGAATTTGCCGAAAGAGTTTAAGACAATGTGATATAGAGACAATTTTTGTACTCCTTTTTTCCCACCAAATGTAAGAACGTTGTAAAAACTTAATAAAAATCAATTAAATTTAAAGTTTGATACACAGACACTCAGACACACACACACACACACACACACACACACACACACACACACACATATATATATATATATATATAAATGATAGAAATTAAGGAGGATTTGAGATAATTAAGTAATTCATCGAGTCTAGAAAAAACCTCAACAGAATGCAGAAAGCACTAAACGGCTGTTTCGTCCTATATTTGAGACTCATCAGCAGTGCGCGTCCACTACCGAGAATTGAAACCCGGACAGTTACATTGACAGGCAAACGTCATTCGAGCGGCTTGGGGATAGTAGTCGTGGCTCTAGGGGGCACAATCCTATGGTTGAAAGAAACTTGGATGATATATATATATATATATGAGTGTGTGTGTGTGTATGTGTGTGTGTTTATTGGGGAGAAAGAAGGAAAGAAGAGAGAAATCCACACTCCTTATGCAATCAAAATGTAGCAACAATATGTATATGTGTGTGTGTGTGTATGTGTGTGTAAATGTCTGTATGCATGTATATTTGATAAATTATAAATAATTGGAGTCCTTCCCTAGTTTAACAATTTGCATAAATTCATGTTCGGAATGGTGCTTCTTTGATTACACTTAAATCACCCCCAAATTGTGTAAACAATTGGACCGGATATTATAAATACAATGCCGACATTTAAATTAATGACATAACATACAAACAAAAAATATTCCATTAGCGTTTCATTTGTATCTAATACATGATTAATAATTATAGCTGAACAAATTAAAAAATTTCATCCAAGTTCAAAACATTAATTGTAGATCGTTAACAGACTTATTTTGTAACTATTTACGCCATCATAAATATAATGTTTTTAAATAGAAAAGACATAACATCCGAAAATAAACCCAGTGCAGTAATCTTCTGAGGATTGGCCGGAACCACCATGAAACTAGAGTAAAGCCTTAGAAAAGATTTTAATTATATATATATATATATATATATATATATATATATATATATAAAAAACAAACCTCCCCAGTATATGTAAAAAATGGCTCAAACAATGGAACGTACTTATTC